AATCTGCTGTCAGCCGTGTTTTTGCGCAAAGCAGATTATTTTGAAAAACTCTCTATTCCTAAACTGGCTGTAAGTTTCGTTTCACTTACAAAGATATGGAAGAGGTTTGCAAAACATGAAAACCCTTCACTTGTGAGGCTCGAGCGAAACTCGAGAAGAATGACAAACATAACAAAGACATGTGTAAGCGAGCTAAATGTAATGTAATCTTTTAAGGTTTAACGAAAATATTGTTTATAATAACGTGTAAGCGTCGCCGAAAAATGATAAAAACTTTAGATACGTTTTTGAGATATTTCTGAAATAATTTTCATGAAAATATATATATATATATATATAATATATTATCTATTTTACATCTTTAAATTATAATTAGTTGCAAAAAGATTATTTAAATATGTGAATATATAAAATAAAAATAATACAAAATTATTTAGATATTAATATTATTATTTAGATTTAGATATATAAAGTTATTATTTAGATATATAAAGTAAAGAATATATGTTGAATATATTGTTGATTGGTATGGTTCATATCTAAAAAAACTTGATAAAATTGAGAAATATTTCTAATCTAAAGTTTTCTTTAAGCTTTTTCTTCCGAGAATCCAGCAACAGCTTTGCGTGTAAGCTGTGGAATAATAAATAAACAGCGTGTCTCCTTCTTCATAGCAAAAATATAAAATCCTTTTATCTTAAAACTTTTACGGCTGATTTATGTCGTTCCAAATAATACAAAATAAAATCATGACATAGTAAATTTTTAAAAATATTGTAAAAACATCTTTTTACGTAAAAACAGCTGTGCAAGAGAAAAAGATTAATTTAGAATTATTTCATAAATAATATTTCTCACTTCTTAATATAATTTCGATTCAAAAAGTATTAAGATTATAACGCATTCGAATAAGTTCAATTTTACTATAACTTATATATGCATTTATAATATGTTTAAAAAACATAAATTAATATTAATTAATGTCAAAATTAATTAATTTAATTAATAAAATTTAATTACAAAAATTATTTATATAAGTAATGATAAAACTAAAATATAATCATAACAATATTTTTTAGATAAAAAATATAACAAATAAACTTAACTTTCTCTATCTTGCTCCATCTATATACCAAACATATATATGAGTATAGTTATTGTTATTATTATTGTTTTTATTATTCATAAATGGTGTTGTATCTTGCTTTCACTTTCTCTCAAATGCATTATTAAGGAAAAAATATGAAGTGTAAATATATATGAATGTTCATATTGAGTTCAGGTTTGTGTATTCGTTAAATCTAAATGATTGCGTGAATTAATCATCTCTGCAGAAATAATCGTAATGAAAGAATTGCAACTTCTATCGTGCATACTGTTCGAAAAAATTCAATTTAAAGTCTTCCTATAATATATAAACCACGCATGCATGTTACATGCGGTTAAATTCTACCTGCTGAACATGCTTATATATTATATAGAAACGTATATGAACATATATGAACATCGCTTTGAACGATAAATAAAAAGTCATTAACGCGACGTAATCCGGCGTAAAATTTTCCGTCTAGATTTTACGTGATACGTTGAATACGCCGCATTACAATGGTTTACATGGCGGCTTATGCAGCAACTGCACTGTATGTCAAGCGAGTCTATTTAATCATGACCGTCATAAAACAGAATGTCCCTATCTCTTCTTGCGACTCATACAATGAAAATGGGAGTGCCGCGGCTCGACATTAATCCACTTACGTATGATTAATTATTATCGCGTATTTCATTATGTAATAGATTAGTTTTAAATTAATTCACACGACTTCTCCACAATTTTGTATAAAATATAATATTTAAATAATATTTTAAATATATATATATATATATATCTATTTTACATATCTATTTTCTAGATGTATATATATTTTATATCTGTAATTTTGGATAAATTCAGAATTAAAGGAGAGAAAAATAATTTTAAATTGACTTATTACGATTTTTTACTTCATCTTTCGCGAAAGAAAAATTTCTCTAATTTTCCAGAAAGATGACAGAATTAATAACTACATAATTATTTCCCTGAAAATGATTAACGATGAGGAAAATGAGAACTTTACTTACGCGCGATTGTCATGTTATTTCATTAAGTAAAATAAAAGACATCCATCAAAGGTGTCATTTTGACGCCACGTGCAAGCTGAGCTCCGCGATGCACCGACATTCAACGGGAAATTTTATTTTCCGCCTGTTGCGCATGTAAGCCGCGTTGCTACTCCGGTCCTCGCCGCGGTAAGAAAAACATGTGCGTATGTCTCTCGCTCGCTTGCGTACCGATGGCGTGACGGAGGCACATAAATTTACAGTTATAATGGAGTTAAACTTGTTAAACTTGCAAATTACAGTTATATGTAACACCGAGTTATTGAACAAATTGAAAAATTCTGACCTGTCGCATTTAAATAATAAATCACAATTATGTTAAACCTCGTCTTCCGCTTGATCAACCTCAAGCTGCCGCTTTTGTTCGCAGAACTTCGTTACGTTAAATCGAACAAAATATAATTTCAAGTTTCATTTTTATTTTTATTTCGTTAATTTAAATCAAGATTCAGTTATTTATATCCTTCAAAATACAGGAATAGTTCTTATAAAGTTATAAAAATAAAATTCTCTGGGACAGCGAGAGTTTAAAGTCTTGCCGATGCATATTTCGTATTTATTTTTTTTACAACGCGTATGACAATTCGAAGCAGACGTAAAACGGAGTCCCTCAAACGTTTCGAGAGAGAGTGTATCACGCATACGGAGATATTAAACCACGTGTACATAGGGAAAGGACTAATGCCTCGTGTTCAGCAGTCATTAACGTCCTTGGCACGGCGAGTAATTCCAGGTCTTTCTTCAATTTCAAGAGCTAATGCGGGAATAATATTCACCTGGACGCCGTCGGAGGAGTGATTAATGACTCGTGTAATTTTTCATTTCGCCTAGCACTGATTTACATCTATGCGGATCTTACCTCCTGCCTAGACGTCACAATGTAAGGCGAGATTTATGTCACCAGAATATCGGCGGAATGAAATCATTAAATCCTTGAGATATTTTATTCAGCGCTAAATCTATGAGGAATGAAATTTTCTCAGCTTCTTTTTGCCCACATATTTTTATGGAATATTCATTCGCGCTATGATACGCGATTGGTCATAGCGCAGGTTGGAACTTGAAAAATCGAGCCTTCGAAAATATCCTCTAACATCTCTTAATTGGTTGACCTATGTCCTCCTCAGAAATGAAACGAAAGGTCACCATGGTCCCATTTCGTTTCCATTTATCTAGCAAAACGTTTTCAAAACGTCTGTCAAACTAGGAAAAGGACCAAAAAATGGATTCGAGCGACGGTTAAAAATCGAGCTGACCGTCAGGTATGAAAGCTCTTCCGAGAGCTCTTCTCCCCGCGGCTAAAGATGTAAAACAATGGCTCGCTAATGGGGCACGGCAAGAAGAAGGCATCGGCGGCGCGAATGCGGCGGCAACAATGCGTCGGTATCGCAATAACGAACGCATTGTTGGTAGGCGCCGCGACAAAGGGCCCGCATTACGAGACGTATTAACATGTCCGGGCGCACACACGCATCCAGCTCTGCCCCCTTAATAATTTACTTTCTCAGCTATCGCGCGCGACATCCTGATCCGCAACGTCTGCCCACGTGTCGCTCGTTACTCCTCCTTCCGCCGTGGCCACTGATGCGCTGGAGAACTCGCGTATGAGTAACCACCTTGCAACATTTGAGTCGGACCCCGTTGCAAAATGGCTGAGACTTCTGTCCTAACACCTATTAATTTTATTTGCAGCGCAATTATTTGTCGTGTAATTTTATCCACGGTTTGTTTCCGGAATTATCATTAAATATACATATTTACTATCTTCAAGTATGCATCAAGGCACCCTGCGCACAATGGAAAAAATATTAGGCATAGAAATAATATATTAAATTTTAGAAATAAAAATTCAGAATGAAAATTAAATGTAACGCACAATGAATACAAGTATGTATATTTGTATATTCATTGTGCGCTACGTTTTTATTCCAAACTTTCATTTTCAAAATTTAATATTTATTCCTGTCCCTAATATTTGCTCCATTATGCACAGGTACTTAAATATACATATTTATTATTATTAATATAAATTATTAATATAAATTAAATATTTATTTAATACGTATTTCACTTATATATTTTATTCATTATTTTTTTAACAACATTATCGCAACATGTTGGACTAAGCACCACGGTTTTATTTCATTGTTCTGTTTTTTTTTTGTAGGATAACAAAACACTATCCTTCTTCTCGAAAAAGATCTTGAAAAATGTCATCTGATTTTCCCTGTCCTTTTTCGAGAACAAGCTACATGACAGTTTCCCTATCCTTTTTCGAGAACGCTACGCGTTTCGACGCGTGTTATCGCTTGAAAACGAAACACCCATGTGAGATCAAACACATGGTCTTAGATAACAAGTCGGAAAATGTCGTGAAAATTATGTCGATGATAATCTTACGTAATTAACGTAACGTTTGTCAGGATTTATGTGCGACAACATCGCTGTAGTCATGATGTAGTTTCGAATGAATTAGAATTTGTCGAAGGTTTAGGTAATTTATCTTCCTCAAAGAAGTAGAGAGAATAATGAAAGGGTATTTTTCTCATCTCACTTCATTTAAAATCCTATTATCTACTTTCAGGACATGTAAATCCTCGGATGTTCCTTGGATTTAGATCTCATCTGAAATTGCTTCCTTTCACTTTGAGTAAACTATTTTATGTATATCAATCTCAGAGCAATTTAAAGGGATTTTGACTTGAATAAACTTTAAGCTCCGATTAATAATTATTAATTATCTTTCTGATGTTTATCGAAAAAAATGTGAGACACTTACCTTCGTACATCTGCGCGTATTGTGGAAATCCCGCAGCTCTCAGCCATTTGCAAGCTTCCTGCGCCTCGATTTCTGAAAAAAATTACAGAATTATTAATTTTAAAAATTAATATAAAATATTATTCAGTGCTGTACAAATTGAAATATCTCCAATTAATATTAAAGACGATATTTATATTTTTTGGAGCTAAAAGAATATCTCGTTTTAAAAATTTGCTAATATAAAATCAAAACATCTACAACATAATTATTAACGAGTTGAAAAGGGAGAAGATATACGAGAAATGCATGAAGTTGATTGTGGAAAAATCGCTGAAACGACGAGAGATATCTTGGAAAGTCAGTCGCCCCGCTGAGATGAGGACGACGGGGATTCATAATCGAGATCGCGTATCCGCAGGGCGATAAAACATGGGTAGCCATCAGTATCGATATCGCTATGGCGGATTTATCGATTTCCCTAGCAGCGGGTAGCCTTCGCGAATGAGCGGCCAACGTCTTTATTTTCCGTCTGCAAACTGGAATATTTCATCCGTGATACACTGATAGAATCCATGAACTTGCTCGTCGATTAAGCCACGAGCATTAATCGCACACGATCGTCGTGCTTCATGTATTAAATGATCGCTCATAGCATTTTTATTTATGACATTCGTAATTAAAAATTTCAATTTTTCTTCGTTATTAATTAAAATCCAAATTTAAATGTGTGTAAAAGTCTGTGGATATTTTATACTTGGCTAATTAGATATTGATATTTGACTAAATATCTGATATTTTGTCGATGATCATTTGTTTCACGAGTGTATTTTGTAGTCAAACGCAATGCGATGACGGCATCATTGTGCTGCAGGAAAAAGGATGAAACTAAGTTAGGGGGAAGTCACGCGAGGTCGACGACACGAATTTACGTAAGTAGCCACGCGTTCATGTATGCATTCACGTATGCCACTTTATAGACATGCAAATGAACCGCATGTCTCGCTTCTAAGTGCCCACCAATTGCATTCAGATCTCAAGTCGCATGAAAAGGATACTTAGGATACTTGCCTTTCTTTCGATCGCGCCTCGGCGAGCACATAATGATGTTAATTCTATCGATCGCAAAATCGATTACACTTAACTTATTAAACTTAAATTATTAATTATAAATAAAAAGCAAATGTCATAAATAAATAAAATTCGTATCTTACGGAGTATATATTGTATTCCACTGTGCTAAAGAGACAATCAAGAGGAGAATAAGACGGGTGTTTGTTCATATAAAGAAAAAAATAGTAAACAAGGAATATGGCAGAAATATAATCCAAAGGACGAATAAAAATTCGTGAGGGAGGAGAATGCGCGCGGACACGGAGAATAAGACGATGAGGAAGCGAAAGAGGAAGAGAAGTTCGCCTTCACTGCCACGGAGATCGTTACGGCAACTAACGCAGTCGCTCTGCGGACGCGTGGGCGAATTATAATGAGATAAAGTATCTATATAAATGTTATAAAAAATATCCCTTCCGCGCGTACATAGAACGCGAATAATAATGAGCGGAATCGACTCCGCCGGTCGCGAGAACACGGAAGGATACAAGCATCAGCACTTCACATTTACAAAATCGACGCGGAGTTTCAGAGATATCGTAAGAGTGTATGTTTACCTTCCACGACAAATTTTACCAGTTCTGTTCCAATAAAGTTAATTTCTCGTATTTGGGGGGGGGGAGGAGGACAAGATAAAATAATTTCTTGCGTCAATTATCACATATCCATTAGCAGGAATGACCACATTCAGATCACTTCCGCGTATCCATGTTCACGAGATATAAGCTCATCAAAGTTATATTTCAACGAGTTCCCACGGGCTGATTGAAATAGCGGTCGGGAATTATAAAGGGAGCGTGGGCCGCCATGGCGAACCAATTAATGGGCTAATTGGAGAGCTTCTAAATACAAGTGGGCCACGATGCAGAAGTCGGTTGACCACGCGGCAATAATAACAATAACAATCGGAGTTAGAGGATATTCTCTTGCTACAGTGAAGCGCGAGCGAGGCACTTTCTCGCGCATGGCTTACGTGCTGCTTTTGTACAGAATGTAGCTGGAAGTTAAAAGCAGCGACCTACCGCAAAGTCCGTATTATTCCGTAGCAAATTTCTGTCACGTGGTGTCGCGAAGGTACACAGACGGGATGAGTGGGAAAGCTGTACGCTGAACATTATCAACACCGCAAGGATGAGAGGCGCGCAGATTTAACCGAGATGAGATTGCTTAAAGTTTAGCCTTACATAAGGAAGAAGTTTTAAATATTTATCTCATATTTCTCCCCTCCGTTTTGTCCGCTGAAGCAAATGGAGAGTATTTTATATATACGGACTTTATATGGTATTAGGATTTTGTTTATTATATTTACGAAGTTTCGTCAAAATTAATTGGTTTAAATCGATGACGAATTTCTCTGCGCAAGAAAAAAACAAAAAATATTCCAAAAGCGCGGATATAAAAAAAACACTACAGCGACATATGTAAATACAAAAACAAGTTCAAGCTCGGCCGGCTTGGCCAGCGTAGCCGGCTGACCGTGCAATCAATAATTTTATTCCCTCGTCCCGTGGGTTTTCATTGATCCCCGCGGAATGGATATTAATTAAATGGTCCACGATGCAGTGGTTTGTTTATGTTATGGTTCGTTACCACGGGGTCCATTTTTTCGGATTAAGAACATCCACTCGTATCGTTGATTAATGTGGGATGGTGCGCGTCAGGATGTTATCGTTCGATTTCGAAATATCGACAATGCCCGTTTTTCAAATTCCCGTTCATGCCGTTCGATGCAGTTTGCCCGCTTACTGAACGGATTAAAAACGTCTAGTATAAAATGCAGAATTCTAATTAAACTTAATCCTCCTTGGCCCGATGTTATTTTTATCTCTGAATATAACTTTGTCTCCGTACACGGGAAAAACTGTGTGGGAAGTATATGGGAAAAACTATGTGGGAAGAACATGGGAAAAACTATATGGGAAGTATATGCGAAAAATTAGATGGGAAGAATACTCCGTATAGAATACTCGAAACTCAAGTCTTATACATCAGTTTTGTTTCAATGGAATAAATCTCACAAATACATAAAAAGAGAAGAAATGAAAATATTATGTATTAAAAATAATAAAAGAAAATATAAATATACAACAGAAGAAATAGTATAATAGTAAAATTACAATTAAAAATAGTAGAATAAATATTTTATATCATAAGCATCTTATTACATTCTTATTAGAATCTTTGCAGGCAATATAAACTATAATATTAAAATATTTGAATTTCCTGAATGCTCAAATATTTTAATATCGATTAAATTCCGGGTTAAGTTATAGGTACAAGCCAAGTTGCAGCAGCAATTGGATTAAAATTTCAAACAAAATTTATGCACTGCGTTTGATGTCAATATTAAAGCAGGTCGAACATTAGAAAAAGTTTAAAGTGGCTTGAAAGCGTAAAAATATCAAGAGCTTTATACAGATTGGAATTGAACAACAGAGTATTTTCATGAAAGCGTTGCTCACAATCCGAAACACACAATTATTTGAAAATTCGAGTCGAGTATATTCAGAGCATATTCATTATAATCTTTCCGCGATTATTCCCCAAACTATTTGTTAGTCGAAAAAAAATTTTAGATAAATTGTAAAATTTTGAGAGGTTCACATGATCATGATATTGATTTATTTGCTGACGTGTCAGTCGAGATTTTTTTCTATAGTTGTCATTTTTTTAAAATAGTATCTATACTTTTTATTAATAAAAATGAAAGTTTTTATGGAACATATAAAGCTACTAAGATATTATAATTTTCTGCAAAAGCCTAATAATATTATATAGAATAGACAATATTCTCAATTAAATTCATTCGGAGATTCGATCTATTTAATCAATAAATAATTTCTAAAAATAAGCAATTCTCTGAATTTTCAATTTTCGCGGTAGGTTGCAAGATCTATTAGGTCCCATGTGCATTCTTCAGGACGTGTGTATATTCCATTTAAACGGTTTATTATGACAAATTGAATTCTCTTAAGCGAATTTATTGATTGTACAAGCAACATCGTTGTATATCCGCCAATCGAATGCAATAAATCGTGACATTGGAGTGGGTCATGGTCCAATAGATATGTTATTGTTTTCATATATTGCATTTAACGGTGGACTGGCGCCAAAGATAATTTCTGTCCCGGTGGGCGTACACGTGTAGACTAACGTCAAATATATTGTGGAACTGTGCCTCGAGCAAGGTTTATCTCCAATGTTATACAAATTTCGAAAAGGTGGATGAGTCACACAATGTAATAATTGCCCCTCAAAAATCAATTTGGAAAAATGATGCGATAAAAATAGACTCGAACATTTTATTTCCTTGATTTATATTGAAGCATTAATAGAGATAGATAAATAACGTACAATGATATAATCATAATCACATTACAATAATAACATAAATAAAATGTACGAGTAAAATTTATAATGTATTTGCTGCAAGTAAAAATTTTACTTCCTGTAATTATAATTACATCAGATTTGTTATTATTTTATTATATTATAATTATATTATATTATATATATTATATTATAATTTTATTATATTATTACTCTTTTTCTCTCTCTTTATCATGTAAATTTTCTTGCTGAATGTATTTCAGCATATGTTATTTGCAAAAAGAATAAGGTTAAACTTTGCTTGTATGACTGTATGCCTTAATTATATATTGTGCAACTCAATGTTTCCTATTTTTTTCATTTGCGCCCACCGAAATACGATAATATTAACCGCATATTTTAACAATTCTCTACATAGCTGGTACCACTCCTATATTACGTAATAATCTATCCATGTCGGCCGCTGAAAGATCTCTTGCAATTCGTCCCCGTTACTCGACAACTCAACCTTTGTTCAGTGATATACGGCAACGTTGTACCCCGTTTACGACCTTCCATTGCATAAACATTTGTCTAATGAGTACCGTGTGAGTTAGCGATCATAAAGGCAATTGAAATTTTTATATCTGTCCAGTAACGCTCAGCCATTC